TTTTCCATGTTATCAATTTTTTTTCCTGGAACAATCTAATTTTCATTATCGGGACATTGTTTTAATAATAAATAAACAATATTTTTTTACTAAAAGATCATTTCCACTAATATCTAAATATTTTCTATACAATTAACATTGATGAAACATTTTAAAAGTTAATATAAATATATATCTCCATCATGCAACACACGGGCACAATAATACTGAAGTCCAAGTCCTTAGCTCCTACCTTATTACAAAAATTTTAGTCATTTTGCCGAAGGATTTAAGATTTCTTAATCATCGGTTTACGTCCTTATAAAGTCTTAAAATCTTGGAGATGAAGTATTTGTTTGGGATTTATCTGGAGGAGAAAACCCGACATGGAGCCCAATAAGTAAGATAAGACCCATCTGAACTCAAAAGCTCAAGCTAATGGGTTCTGAGACCACCTTACTTATTAACTGATTCACATTTCCTCATGCCTCCGATGTGGGATTCATAATCCTTGCCACATGACTCTCAACATTCTCCCCCGTCATGGGCAATCTCCACATCGAGCTTCCAAATTATCTTGACAAGCCCAAATCTGTACTCCACCAAAGTAACTGGGCCGCCCATCCCTACGGTTCCGCTCGTAGTGGGCCTGTGACTGCTTGGGTTCAGTCAGATCAACCGAGATAATTTGGGCTAAATCACCCATCCACTTGGCCCAACCTAGGCTCTGATACCACTGTTGGGGATTTATCTGGAGGAGAAAACCCGACATGGAGCCCAATAAGTAAGATAAGACCCATCTGAACTCAAAATCTCAAGCTAATGGGTTCCGATCGGAGGCATGAGAATATGTGAATCAGTTAATAAGTAAGGTGATCTCAGAACCCATTAGTTTGAGCTTTTGAGTTCAGATGGGTGTTATCTTACTTAATGGGCTCCATGTCGAGTTTTCTCCTCCAGAGAAATCCCCAACAGTGGTATCAGAGCCTAGGTTGGGCCAAGTGGGTGAGTGATTTAGCCCAAATTATCTCGGTTGATCTGACTGAACCCAGACAGTCAAAGGCCCACTATGAGCAGAAATGTAGGGATGGGCGGCCCAATTACTCAGGTCGAGTACATATTTGGGCTTGTCGAGATAAATTGGAAACCCGATGTGGAGATTGCCCATGACGGGGGAGAATGTTGAGAGTCATGTGGCAAGGATTATGAATCCCACATCGGAGGCATGAGAATATGTGAATCAGTTAATAAGTAAGGTGGTCTCAGAACTCATTACCTTGAGCTTTTAAGTTCAGATGGGTCTTATCTTACTTATTGGATTCCATGTCGGGTTTTCTCCTCTAGATAAATGCCCAACAAAATACTGGAGACACCACCGGTTTCATCACCTCCTGTTCAGCCTAGGAGGTCAACCAGAGACAAGAGACCTTCCACCAGGTACAGTGCTCATGAGTATTTGTTGCTTACTGATGGGGGAGAGCCAGAGTCGTATGAAGAGGTTCTTAGTCATGAGCAGAAAGATCAGTGGTTAGCAGCCATGCAAGATGAGATCAAATCCTTGCATGAGAATAACACGTATGACTTGGTGAAGCTGTCTAAGAGCAAGAGAGCACTCAAGAATAAATGGGTGTTTCGACTAAAAACAAGTGAGAACAGCTCACAACCGAGGTACAAAGCCAGATTGGTTGTGAAGGGATTCAATCAGAGAAAGGGCATAGACTTTGATGAGATATTCTCTCCTGTTGTAAAGATATCTTTGATCCGAGTTGTGCTTGGGATAGCAGCCAGCTTGAATCTTGAGATTGAACAGCTTGATGTGAAGACAGCCTTCTTACATGGTGATTTGGAAGAAGAGATTTACATGGAGCAACCAGATGGGTTTTAGGAGAAGGGGAAAGAGAAGCTTGTATGTCGTCTCAACAAAAACTTGTATGAGTGGAAGCAAGCTCCGAGGTAGTGGTACAAGAAATTTGATGCCTTTATAATAGGGCAGGGATACCAAAGGACTACAACCGATCACTGTGTGCTTGTGAAGAAATTCGCTGATGGTGATTTTATAATTCTTTTGCTTGATGTCGATGACATGTTGATTGTTGGTCATGATACTGCAAAGATTGTCAGGTTGAAAAAGGAGTTGAATAAATCCTTTGCGATGAAGGATTTGGGTCCGGCTAGACAGATCCTTGGGATGAAAATTTCTCGTGACAGACAGAATGGGAAGCTTTGGGTATCTCAAGAGAAGTATATCGAGAAGGTTCTTGATAGATTTAAGATGAGCGGTGCTAAGGAAGTCTCGACTCCACTTCCAGGGCATTTTAAGCTAAGCAGAACGCAGTGTCCTAAAAGTGAGAAAGATAAGGAAGAGATGAAAAAGGTTCTTTATGCTTCGGCAATTGGCAGCCTGATGTATGCGATGGTTTGCACAAGGCCAGACATAGCTCATGCAGTTGGTGTTGTTAGTCGGTTTCTCTCCAAACCTGGTAAGGAGCATTGGAATGCTGTTAAATGCATTCTCAGGTATCTTAGGGGTACTTCCAGATTGAGTCTTTACTTTGGCAATGGGAAGACCATGTTACATAGATATACAAATGCTGACATGGCAAGTGACCTGGATGGTCGGAAGTCTACTTCTGGTTACTTGATGACTTATGAAGGGGGAGCAGTTTAATGGCAAAGTAGGTTGCAGAAAAGTGTTGCTTTGTCTACTACAGATGCAGAGTTTATCGCAACTACTGAATCTTGTAAGGAAGCACTTTGGTTGCAGAAGTTTCTACAAGAGCTTGGCATGAAGCAAGAGAGGTATGTGGTGTATTGTGATAGCCAGAGCGCTATTCACTTAGCTAAGAATTCCACATTTCATTCACGGTCAAAACATATTGATGTTAGGTATCATTGGATTCGGGATGTACTAGAGTCCAAGACGTTGTTTCTTGAGAAGATCCATACGGATGACAACGGTGCCGATATGATGACGAAGACTGTGAGTAGAGACAAGCTCCTATTTTACAGACGGATAGCGGGTTTGGTTTTACCCTCCAATTGAGGTGAAGGGGGAGATTGTTGGGCCGATTTTCCCCTCAATTAGGCCCACCACAAGTGGAAGTCAAAATCCAACTTGGATTTGTTTGGTTTGGCTGAGTAAGAAAAACCAATTGGAATTAATTTTTTGATTTTTTGCTCTATAAAAGCAAGGCTTTGGCATAATTTTTAGGTGTGTGTTTTTCAGCCGAGAGAGAAGGAAAATTAGGGCAGCCGCGCAAGGGTTTTGTGCGAGAGAAAAAGAACGAAAGCTAGGGTTTAGTTTTCTGTTTAACTCTCTTTTGGTTAGATCCTTCCAATCCTACTTTGTGGTTTAGGGGTGTATGGAAGAGTATTATTGTAATCCACCTTTGGATAAAGTCACGTGTATCTACCGGTTGGTGAAGACTGTTTTCTCATTATTGTGATAGTGGAGATTTGACTGTTGTTATAGTCTCGTGGTTTTTCCCGATTTGGGTTTCCACGTAAATTTGTGTGTCTACTTTACTTTATTAGTTCTTGAATTAATTGCTTGTTTGGTTGGTTGTCCTATTTTATTGGTAGTAGGAAAGGAGATTTTCCTGAGGTTCACTTCCGTGGTTTGTTGTGTTTATACCCTTTCCGCCACAACAGTGGTATCCGAATAAGAAGAAGGATTATTGGTCCATTAAAAAACCCTCAGTAGTTAAACAAATGCATCAATTTTCAATGGATTTTTATTGGCCGTATTTTATGCTGATGTAATTTTATCTACTATTTTCCATTTAATTGTCAAAAATAATTTACTTTAAATAAATTACGTGGCATATGGTCTTTGTAATAGTATAGGTTTTATGATTATGCTTTAGCAATTGATTTGTACTTTTTTTTTTCTTTGTATTGTAATGGTTTATATAAAACAATACTGCATTATTTCTTAATAAGTACTGCGTTGTTTGTTTAATATTAGTTTCTTTTCCATTAGATCCACTCGAACTGTATTGCAAATTTTTTTAAAATTTTGCGTATGTAATAGTTGTGCGGTTTTTTTTTTCTAGAACAATCTAATTTTCATAACTGAGACATTGTGTTAATAATAAATACTAAAGATTATTTCTGCTAATATCTAAATATTTTATATACAATTAAGATTGATGAAACATTTCAAAAGTTAATATAAATATATATGCCCATCGTGCATCGCACGGGGCAAAATACTAGAAATAGCCATCCTTCAATCGAGTTTGAAATAGTTCAAGGAGTCATCCAAACTCGATCAGAGATTTATTAGTCTAACAGTTATGTGTGCACATTTAAACTAATACCTTATGGTTCCTGTCTCCCAAACAACGGGAAAGGAAAAAGAAAAAAAAGGTCTATCTATTTCATATTTTAAAGTTATCTCATCAAGTTAAATATTTGAAGCTAGTTATTTGAAGTTTCATTGAAAATGTGCTATCAACTCCCTTTTTCAAGTTCTTTTAAGAGTGGCCAAACAACATAAAATGCAAAACTCAAAGACAGAAATTGATAGGATGACAGTACCCCTTTTTTGGTACCTACAAAAGGGCATAGAATGTCCATAATAATAATAAGGAATCGGAAACAGAAAGTAATCCGTTTGCATGGAACATGTTTTTCGGAGAGTGACAAAAGGGCATTTTGTACATAGATTCTCTCATCCTCAATTTGCTTTTCCATACAAAGTTGAAAAATAAATTCCTTATATTATTCCTTAACGTCTTAACTAGTTAAATTATGGCCTACTTAGTTAACTGACAATTTTGTCATCAAGGACTTGTTTTTAGGTTCTCCTTTCAAGTAAGACAGCAAAAATCAGTTAATAATAAACCAATTTCTACCGGACACCAAGGCGAAGAAGTACTAATTAATTAGCCAACATATATACATCTAATCACATGATGCTAAAAAAGCATAGATTAACCAGTTCTACCAACCTATTTAAGCAACAAATGTGTACTGATAGTCCATAAAATTACTAATAATTAAATCTTCAAAAGAGGATGGTTTCTTTAACCCCAATTTTCTTTACTAAGACACTAGTAATCATTTGGTTATGGGGTGGTTTAGTAAGTGGATCTCCGAACACTCAAGTCTTTCAGGAAGAATGTAGTCAAGCATTTTACCCGGCAATCGATCCTTATGGAATCAGTGTAACTTACATTTTGAATGATGTGATGAAGAACACCCCAAATTCACAACCCTATGACTATTCCGTTTCCGGCCTTCCGCCGGTTAATGCTTATGGTTTCGGAAGTTGTGCTCCGGCGTTGTCTAATTCAGATTGCTCCACCTGTATGACCGCTGCATACACTGAAATCGTGAATCGTTGCGGAGGTCACATTTCTGGTAAAGTTCTCCTCAAAGATTGTTCAATTGGATACATGAAGGATGTTGCACATAAATAATGAGCAAAATATCAGTCTCCTCCTATGTATCTTAATTACCCAACCATGGTTGCTGGAAATGTGTGATATGATCACGATCAAGAATTATTTGGGAATGCATTGAGATCCTTACTTTTGTTATCTTATTGTTTTTCCTAAAGCAAGTGTTTTACGATTCATAAGCCAAATATGTAAGATGCATAATTATGTACGTTTTATTTGAGTTGTAAAATGGAACTATTTCCTAATTAAAGCTTACTATACTACTGTTATATCTAGTGCTTGAAAATTGAGTTTAATCAATTACGTACTACCACTCCAAGTGCAAATATTGTTCAAAAATTGTAACGCACGGAAGTTTCTCTAAGACTTGTGTAATTAAAACCATGTTAGTTAACTAGTAAAGGAATAATCGACAAATCCCTTAAGTTTCATTAAAGACGATTTTACAATCCGAGCGATAAAAACTGTGGTGAAATTATATGGTTTTGTGTACCTTTCCAAGATATAATTAACCACACGAGCAGTGGCAGAGACAGGCGGACCAGCGGGGGCTGTGGTCCCCCTCCCCCAACTTTTTTATAAAGAGAAAGCTTAATTTTGTAGTATAAAATTTCAAAAAATCAAAATTTTGTCTTTGCTAATTGAAAATTTTTGAGTGTGTTTTTTTGTATTGTGAATGTAAAAAGGTGTATTGGAAATGTAAAAAAGTGCATTGATAATGTAAAAAGGTATACTAGGATGGGATAGATATTAATTAAAAATTCTGAAAAAATGAGTGAAAAAAGAAACCAAACATAACCTTAATACTTGACCCCTGCAATTCATACTTTCTGGTTTCATCACTGCACACGAGGGGGCGATAAGTCGATAACTATTGCAAAAATTCATCAGAGTCTAGCTCAATGCTGCGTTCCAATCAAAAGGTAATCCTGGATAGCGAAGAATCTTTTTGGGTTTTTGGATATCCAGAAATTCAAAAATAAGAACAAAATGATTAAGAATCCCTGGAAAGGAACAAAAACTAGCTAGGTTTCTATTTTCTTGAATTTAGGAACCATTTGTTTAAAGCAACTGCTTTGGGTAATTATTCAATTTTGAAAGCATGTTAGACTGTTCAATTCTTCCATTATTTGTTATGCATGACGATAACCACGTTCATGAATCATTTTGGATTGCTTTTTGATTCTTACTTTCGATATCTTATTGTTATTCTTAATTTTAAGGGGATCTTTGTGTATAGAGCATGTGTTTTGTGATTCAGTTGCCAAATAAGTAAGACGTACGCATAATTTCATTTAAGTTGTCAAATAGACATATTCTGCTAATTAAGGGGGGAAAAAAATAAAGGTATTATAAGTAAAAAGTGTTTGACAAATAATTACAAAATCACATTTCCAAAATTATTTCTTACAAAACTTGTACTCTTTCCTCCTGGTGCGATGCGATCCTCGAATATACTTTGTGCGGTCCTCCCTGAATCAAAAAATATCACGGTTAAAGTACATGTGCATGGACAATGGAATCTATCAAACTGGGGTAGGTATTAATTAATTTCAAAGTAAACATACATTTAAAATTTATAGCATGGTTCCTACCTTCCATCCGAAACAAACACAAACACATCCAAAACAAAAACAAAAAAAAAAAACAAAAAAAAAAGGACAAAACGGTCTTCACACTTGTCCCCATTTTAAAGTTCATTTAGAGCGGCCAACCAACATAAACTACAAAAATAAAGAACTAGAAAATAATCAAAAAGAAGCGGTTAATTACAAAGTGAAAGCCTTAATTAATTAGTGCGAGTTCAAATGTAATAAGCAATTGAAAAGAACAGCATGGAATCAGTTTACATGGAACGTGTTCCTCACAGAATGACAGAAAAGCATTTGCGGATTGATTTTCTACTGCTCTTTCCGCTTGTTATATATTGTTGAACTAGAAATTCCTTAAAATGTTAATTTCAGCTTCAGAATATTCGTTAACGTCATAATTAAATGGTATCCTAGGTTAATTCACATATAAATGTCGTCATCAAGTACTTCGGGCTTCATTTTCAAGTAAGACAGTAAAAGTTAGCGGATAAACCAATTCACCTAACACTAATATATAACAAAACCAAATAAGTCGTAGCCCATCAAGTCGAATAGAGCTGAAACCAAGTTGACAAAGAAGACTTCTTACAAAAGATGATTTCTTACACCCTAAATTCCTTTACTAAAGCAGTAATCATCATTTGGTTATGGTGCTCTGTTGTGACTTGCACTCCAAACATATCAATTACCGGAGAGTTTTGCAGCGATTCGACATACTCAGAAGACGATCCTTATGGAAGCAGTGTGGCTTATGTTCTGAATGTAGCAATGATAAACACACCAAATTCAGCAGGCTACTCTTATGGTACATATGCTCCTTTGCCTTATCAGCCGGTTTTCGGTTACGGAGTTTGTGTTACATATTTGTCCGATTTAGATTGCTCCACTTGTTTGGTCGCTGCGTATACTGAAATCCTGAATCAATGTGTTGGTCACACTTTTGGTGAAATTGCTCTTGCGGAGTGTATGATTGGTTACCAGGATGTCCGGACTACACAACCATGAATGATATAGTTTATGTTGATGATGATGGTGATGATATATATTCGTCATTTCGTGCTTATAGTGATATTAATAAGGGCAACTTGTATTTACTTTCCTGAGATTTGTTAAAAGCTTCAGAGCTTCAATCTGAATTCGGAGGATTCAAAGCTACTAATAACAGGGGTGTACGTGACTTTCTATTAATATAATGGTGGAAAAGGAAATGTTACTATAATCTTGAACGTTCTGAAACGATTCATAAATGATTATTGAGTCTTTGAGATTCATATTTATATATTTATTTTTGTTCTGACAATTACGTAATTAATTACAGTAAAACCTCTCTAAATTAATACACTTGAACCTCTAAAAACTTATTAATATAAGATTTATTAATTTATCGATAAAAATAATTATTAATTTATAGATAAATTAATATTTCATTAATTTAAAGAGTTTTTTCAATCCTATTAGTAACATAATACAAAAATTTATTATTTTTATATCAAGATTAGTTCGTTGCATCTCGAGCCATAAAGTTATAATTTTCCTAATGGAGCAAAAACATGATAACTGTAAACTTAAACAAAAATAGTTAAGTTAAAACCTTAGTGTAACTTCAAATATAATTTATTATTTTAGATAGTTATTAATTTATAAAATGTGGGAACCTATATATATACATAGGAGATTCTTGAAAAATTATTATCTTATAAATTAATCGAGTTTTTCCATTTTTGTACTAGTCCCGAGTTGGATCCGAAAAGAATATTATTTAATAGAGGTTTTTTTAAAAAAAATAAAGAAATATATAATTTTATTGAGAATGAAGAAAAAATAGAGCAGCATATATACTAAACCCTATATGAAATATAATTTTGATCTTAAAATAAAATTGAATCCTTGTTCAATCTAGCAGACCGGCAAACTTGAACTTTCTTTTTAGCTTTGGCTTTTTTCGATCGGTTATGATACGTGGAGCAGAAACTTCACTATAAAATAACTTTTGTTCCATCGCGTGTTCCATATCAAAGTCTTCATCTTCAAAACCATTGAAAAAATGATTTAGTCTGCCTTCGGAATTTTTTTCTTCAATCGAATAACTTGGGTTAAAAAGGCTCGGTATTGTTCCCTATCTCCATATCATCTTTCGATAAGTACGATTTTGGGGACGTAATTTGTAGTAAAACCTATAGAAGGAGAATTTTTGGCTGAGGAGAGCTAGTAAATTCTGGAACTTCGGGATTGAACTTGTGACCGGAGTTATTACTAGAGACATTTAGGAAAGAATATTCTTTTTCTAAACTTGAGGGAGAAATTTGCTGTGAAGGTGAGTTTGACTTAGACTTCTCCTCATTCAAAATCGAGATATGCTGATCAGATTGAGATATCTGATTTTCCTCCGCTGATATCGCGTTAGCCGCAATAGCCGCAATAACGTGCGCAACTGATGCGCAACTGAGTTTGGAATTAGGAGGGATTTGCCGAATTCTTTGATTTTCCTCCATCCACGGCGACTGCTGCCGGTCTTCAATTGTCGGCCGTGATGTTTCTTCTCTATGGGATTCTATTTGGGCTGTGATGTCCGCAAAGATGATTTGAAGATCTTCCAGAAGTGGCGGAACAGAAGTGGCCGGCCGCAAACCAGAACCAGCTTCAGCATTTTGCTTCTCCGGGGAATTCTGACTCTCCACAGACGAAATTTGTGTGGCAGTAACCAAATTGAAAGAGGATTAACGATAATCCGCAGTAGCGTCAACAATCAGAGGGCCATGATTACCAGCAGGTTCAGCAATTTCATGTGCGACATTCTTCGTTCCGGCGGCGACTTCGACTGATAGTTGAGGCGTTTCTTCAGCCTCTATCTGTTCTGAAATCAAACTGAGCGTGGACTATCAGGAACGTCTACTGGAATTGCAGCTTTCTCCATCCTGGTCAATCCAGAAGTCGATTCTGCTAGAGGTTGCACAGAGTGCAGGTTTAAAGCTCCCAGCGCAATTGAGTTTTCGCAGGGGCTGGCACAGCGACATCTTCTTGTTGCTTTGGCAATTGCAATACCGTGTGGACAAACGGCGAATCACCATCAGCAACAGTGGCTTGTGGCAATGGAGTCTGAATAATAATAGAAGAAGGGGGGTGGTTTGGCAATGGTGCTTGTTTTGAATGAGGCTTTAAAGTATGTGATTCTGGCCTTTGTGATGATGATACTTTATGATTTTGTCGACAGGATTGATGATCATAACCAAGTTTTTTACAATCAACACAGTATTGTGGCATGTTCTCATAGTAGATTGGATGAAAATAAGACTTTTCTTCAACTCCCAATCTAACTCAAACGGGATGCTTTTTGAGGAGATCGATCTCTACGCAAACTCGAGTTACCGAAGGGCGCGACATATTAAGAGTTGGAACATCGATTTGAAGTGGAGTTCCAATGATGCTAGCAAGTTTCCACAAGTAATCCTTATTGAAGTGATGAATGGAGAGACCTTTGAAAGAGACCCAAACTGGAATAATGGAATTTGTGTGCCAGATTAAAGTCTGTGATCCATTTTAACACACATCTGATGCTTGTCAAAGGTCCAGAGTCCTTTAAGCCAACATGGATGAAAATCCTCTTCTAGATCAAAGTATATGAGGATGTATCGATAATCAATCAACCCAATTGAAAAATTACCTTTAAAGCCAATGATTTGGAATTCTCTCCGTAGATAGTCTATTTTTGGCCTACCTTTGGTGAATTTCTCTACTAGAACAAGACGAAATGGGATTGCCAATTGTTCGTCTTCTTCTTTTGTAAGAAGAAAAGTTGGCTCTCCTTTGAATAAAGCTGGCTGCGAGTGAATAACGAGTGGGCTGAGAATTTGATTTTTTGTGTGTATTGTTTTGGGATTAGAGGTAGAGTCTAAGATCTATGCAAATGATGGCCGTTGAGGGGGTGTTGGGCCTAGAAGTAGAGGAGAGCGTCTAGATAGGAGAGAGGAGATGCAAAAGTAGGTGGTATGTATTATTTAATAGAGGTTATTAATTAATAGACAATTAATTTAGAGAGGTTTTACTGTCATTCTGTTTGATAGATCATTCAAAATCACAAGTACATTCCATCCAATAACAACAAAAACAACATATCTTGTATACTTAATAATCCAAAGTTCGTGGATATGGGGGTCAAGTACCTTGCCCCTGATTCAACACGTACATTTCTAACTATTTTACTAAGATTAATAATAAAGAACTGATAGGAATTCGATTTTGTCTATTTGATTATCAAGTTAATGGTGACTCTTCCAGCTCTATTTTCAATGAACAGAATCGTAAATGACATGTATAACGCGTATAACAAATAACTGGGGCGCGAAGCATACCTAATTCCTGAAGGATTGAGTTATGCTCAATAGTTGCGTTTCTCTTTTTAGATTTACGAATAGTAGAACATGAAAATGATAACTGGAACGAAAACAATGATAATAATTAGATTGTCACACCAGTCATGCATACCCCGGCGACTTCTAACATTATCATATGTAATATGTTCATAAGGAGAGAAATGAACTGTTGTTTTTGGACAATACATAAGGGAAAAAGAAATTAAGGGGCATTCCTTAATTAATACAAAATTTAAGAGTGGTGATTAATTGGATATTCAAATGTATATATTTTAAAAATGATACAAAAGTATTACATACAGCATCTTTTGTAGTACTACATAGAAAAGTATTACTTGGCTGTATCTTCAAAAGTGACGTTTCAAAGAATGCGTTCAATGCAAAATTAGACCAAGAAAACAAATAAAACATAGCCATGGCTTAAAAGTCAATTTGGTGATCTTTTCATATGTTTATAATGGTGGGAAATGATATTAGGTTGGAGAAAAGTATTACTTGGCTGTATCTTCAAAAGTGACGTTTCAAAGAATGCGTTCAATGCAAAATTAGACCAAGAAAACAAATAAAACATAGCCATGCCTTAAAAGTCAATTTGGTGATCTTTTCATATGTTTATAATGGTGGGAAATGATATTAGGTTGGGGACTTTATATGTGTAACTCGGGTGCAACAATTTGTATTAATCTAACTAAAATTCAATTAAACTAACTTATTAAATTTGCCTAATAATTAAATACCTTGTAGGGTGAGATGTGGTGAGATGAATTATGTAAGTTGTATTATTACTCGTTTAAGATAAGTTTATAATGATACCCAATCAATCCTATTCCTTCTCCGATAAACCCCACAACTGTAATTTTGTGATACCTATATAAGGATACAAAACACTTCCGCAGCAAACTTCACAAATTAATTAATAGTTAGGATATTTATATAATGATACCAAAAAGGACTTTTATCTTTAAAAGTGACGTATCAAAGAATGCATTCAATGCGAAATTATACAAAGAAAATAATAAAACATAGCCCGTGGCTCAATAGTCAATTACGTTGTCATTTAATATGTTTATAATAGCGGGAAGTGATATACGCTGGGGACTTTAAATCACAACAATTTGTATTGATGGACATCTTGAGTTCAGGTTGAGTTTTAAAATTGGTACTAAAAGCTCAATGTGCATTTGTTTCTTTATGGAGCGAGAATATGTATTAATAACACTGTAGTTCAAAAAAAAAAGAGAGAGAGAACATCAACAAGTATTTGTTCAACTTTTTGGAGTCATCAACTATATGAATAATACAGCTTTATTCTTTAGTCAATATTAGAGAACAGAAGCTAAGAAAATTTCATATGCTAGGAATTTGAGATTGCTAGTTGATCAACCTCTCAAAGCCTAAATTAAGCATATTTTGTAGCCATGAGGTAAAGTGGGTTTCTTTTATGCATGGTTGCTCCTGGAAATGCATCGGTATCAATGTCTGCTATTTTCACCCCAGAAGGCAATTTCCAATCAAAGGAGTAAAGTAGATTGGCCAGTGTAACTCTCGTAGTTGATAGTCCAAGAGCCATTCCGGGACATTGTCTTCTTCCTGCTCCAAATGGAATAAGCTCAAAATCATTTCCCTTAATGTCAATACTGCTGTTCAAAAATCTCTCGGGAATGAAACTATCTGGATTTGGCCAACTTTCAGGATCTCGAGCAATAGCCCATGCATTGAAAATAACCATTGTATTAGGCTCAATATCCCATCCATCTATGTTGCAACTTCCTATGGTTTCTCTTGGCAGATTAACAGGAGTTGGAGGATATAATCTGATGGTTTCTTTTATTACTGCATCAAAATAAGGGAGTTCTTGAAGTACTTCATCCCATTGACCTCCTTTCTTATCAAACACATCTCGAATTTCAGCTTGCACTTTTTTCATAGCAGAAGGGTTTTGCATCAAGGTGGTCATAGCCCATATAATCAACGCTGAACTTGTGTCTGTTCCAGCAACAAATACATCCTGTAAACACATGAAGGACCAGACTATAAGTGAACAATTACTTACAAAAGAGTTTTAAGTTCTTTTTCGATCAATTTTTCAGTGTGTGTATTTCGTATTGGAAATGTAACAAAATATGCTTGAAATGAAGAAAGATACGCTTGAATAGGACATATATTAATAGTAAAAGACAGAAATTTACCGTGAGAACTGCCTTGATGTGGTCCCAAGTAAAATCAAATGATGAGGTTTTATCTTCTTTCATCTGGATCAAAAGATCAAGAATATCATTCTTCATTGTTTCTGGCCTGTTTGGATCGAGGTGGTCATCTATAAGTTCTTGGAAGAACGAACTTAGTTCCTTAACATTGTTGTCCAAACGTGCAAATTTCCCCATAATCTTATCGATCCAGCTTAACGAAGGCAAATAATCAGTGACAAAAAATTCCGCATAGATTAGTTGATGCTCCCTTAAAATGGGATCAAACCTTTTCCTCTCCTGATCCTCTTTATTGAATTTCTTACCGAAAGCAATTCGACAGATGTATGTGCTTGCTAGGTTCGTCGCCATTGAAGTCAAGTTGACAACTTGAGATGAAGAAGCGAGATTTGAGATTTCCTTAATCATGCTGGAAATCCCATCATCAAGAATAGGGCGAAATTGTTGAACCCTTTTTTGGGTAAAAAGATGAATCACACTAAGTTTCTTCATCTCCCTCCAATAGTCACCATAAGTTGAGAAAGTAATATCCTTACCATTGTAAGAAACCTTTTGCATCACAACCAGTGGCGGCCTTCCAGAGAAGACGAGATCATGGGTTTTTAGGGCTTGTTTCGCCATTTTCGCCGAAGAAATGACAAGAACTTGCCTCTTTCCCAGCTTCAATAACATGAGAGGGCCGTATTTGTTGGAAAGCTTTCTCAAGCCTTCATAAGGCTTTGCACCGTCAAATTGATGCATGTTTCCAATCAAAGGTAATCCTGGTGGGGAAGGAGGAGGATTAATCTTTTTGGTTTTTTGGGTTTTGCGGAGACGAAAAATGAGAGCAAAAGGGAAAAATAGTAAGAAGAAGAAGAAAACCAAGATTCCCATTTTTCAAGTTTTTGAAACAAGGAAATACTTTTTTACTCGCTGCAGGGCTGTGAGTTTTAAGTTGCTTGCTTGAGCATCGCTTATATATAGGGGGTGGTTTCTTACGTGTAATAATCGTAATGCTTGCCTTTTTCTTTAGTTTCGCATATTAATAATCTCCAAAAACTCAGCAAATTCTACATCGCTCTAATCTCCAAATCTGACTTGTGTATTAAATTACACTTCAAGGTGAACTTAAAATTTTTTTAATTTGTCGCAGTTCATTTTCAATACAATTTTAATTAAACTTTTGCCAATATCCTTCTATATCTTGAGTTTTTTTTTTCTAAATTAACCTTATTAGCAAAATTATGTCCCTAAATAAATCACACGAGAATCAAATTACTTGTGTAACTTATAATGATGCCACGTAGATTCAAATAAGAAAAGTCAATTAGCTTCCACTTTCTTTCAGTTTCTCTTCTTCTTCTTTTTCTTCTTCTTTTTTTTGGGGTACGAATCTGCTTCCAGTCATGTCTAAACTCGCGTGCATAATACCACAAATCATGATAACAATCTTATTTCAATCTACAAATTTACATATCCCCAATTTTCCATGCATTTGAGCATTGCCAATACTTCTCCCCGACCATTTAGCACACTCGAAAAACACCTCCGAAAAGCTTTCTTGTTTTCTTTTTTTTTTTTGTTCTTTTCTTCCCGATCCATTCCTTGCCGGAAGAGACACCATAACAAACCTTGTATGTTTCTTTTCACATCAACAAATTCACATCCAATGACTAATTGAGAAGACCAAGATCTATTCAAATCGGCCCTTTCCCCAATTATAAGATTAATATTAGTGAATTGGTTGTCCAGATCAGCTGTCCTCTTCTCCAAAATGAATCAAACTTGACAAACAACTTTTGATTCCCAAACCTCGGCCTGATCGAGGTTTTGAGTATTGAGAGTTATTGAATCATGGTGAACCAAAGAAATGAAAGAATGTATTAATTGTGAGTGAATCCGGTTGAAACTTACCGGAGTGGTGCGCTGATCATTGATCCTACAGTTCTTGTATCCATTAATTTATTTTCCATTTCGACAATTTAAATTATGATGAGATGGGTAGGTGAAAATTATTGAGAGTATATGATTTCAATTTATGCTATTTACGGACATAGTTTGGTAGATAAGGTTTCTATAGAAAAAAACTCTCTATATCCGTACTTTTAATAGCATATATTAATAACAATTACAAAATTTTTACTTCAAATCTAATATTTTGAATTGGGACAACAAAGGTTTTATACTAAAATATTAATCATTATTTTCTTAATACACGTGCATAACCTAAAAAAACAGAAAAAAGTTGGAGTTAGTAGTATTTATTTATTATAGTTGAAAACTGCCTTCAAAACGAAAAGTCTAATTGAATAGTATGTGAACTAATCCACAGACAATTGATACCAAAAGTATAATTGATGTAATATGTATTTCCTAACATTCTAACATCACAATTCTAGGATTCTGCCTCAATTTTTGTTAAAAAAAATAAATATATATATATATAAGAAGAAAAAGAAGAAGAAGTATGTGAACTCATTTAGTAAAGGATCGGTTTTGTATTTGACTAGCTCCTAATAGTTTGTGTTATTCAAAGTCATAAGAGAACTCCCAAAAGAAACATCTATTGGCTTTTTTTTCTGTGCGTGTTTTGACTTTAAAATTTTTGTCGTTGATGTGACCAATGATATTGCAAATTATACGGGGAACTCGGTGCGCTCAAAGTTTAGAGCGCACCGGGCTGGGCATGAGCGCGAGGCGCGCGCTGCTCTCTCCTCTCTTTTTTTTTTTTTTTCCTTTTTTCTTTTTTATTTTAATTTTATATTTTAGTTTTTTTAATCTTTAAAATATTTTAGTAAAATTTCACCCACTCTTTACACACGCAATTAATAGATTCAGGTCTAGTGTCTAACGTAATACGAATAACTTATAAATTTTTTTAATTTAATTAGGCTTTACGAGACTCTAGCCTAATTGAATGAAAAAAATTTAAACCGAATAAAAAGTTAATTTGTTTGTGTTTAGGGTTTAGGAGGATTTAAGCATTCAATTAAGTTAGGACCTAGTGATTAGCATTTAGAGTTTATGTGGGTTAAATTATTTTAATTAAATTAGGGTCTAGTGATTGAGGTTTAAGGTTTAGGAAGGTTTAAATATTTCAATTATGTTAGGATTTAGTATTTGACGTAACATGATTACATTATAAGTTTTTTTAATTTAATTAAATTAGGAACCCTAACCTAATTAAATTAAAAATAAATTAAAAAAAATATAGTGAATTTAGTGTTTAGAATTTAGGAAGGTTTAATTATTTTAATTAAATTAGAGTCTAAAATTAATAAAAATAATAAAGTTTAAAAAAAATTTAAAAAGTGGAGGAAACAAAAGGGTGAGCGCACACCCACTGCCCGGTGCAACCTAAAAATAGGTAGTACCGGGTGCCCCATAGAACAACTGCCAATGATATACTCCCTCGAGTTCTTATTATATGGTATTTTAGTTTGCCTTAAATATTATTTATCGTGTATTTCAATTTAAAATAAAACTTTAAAAATATAATTTTTAATATTTATTGTGTTCTCTCAATTTTATAAGATATTTTTAATGTTTTATTTTCAATTGAAAGAATATGATAAAAAAAGATATAGTACAAATCAAAATGTCTCATGTTAACTATCAGAGCATATAACAAGCTGACAAACTTGAGCTAAGTAAAGACTGAAGGGGGAGATTGGCTGTAGCTAAAGTATACGTTGCAATAAGTAGAGATTTTTAATCTCCCTTAGGCATAGGTAATCTTTCCTTGCCGCTGATCATAGTTGACAAAATCATATTATGTTCATTTATATACGTCATTGACTTAATTACTTGGAAATGATCGACTCAAAATAGGTCCCAGAAATAAGAACCATATTTAATTACGACTAGGAATTCTGTTTTTATTTTATCTAATTAAATTCGAAATCAAAGAAAAAAAATTAAATCCGAAATTATATATGGTCACTAGTTCGGAGTTCCCCAACAAAATAGTCCACATTGAGTTTTGAGATTTATATTAGATTTAGTACAAATTTGAAAACTCAATGTGAAATTTTTTTTTGAAACAACGGTAGTATTGCTTTTCAGGGTTATTCAAATTAACCTTTGGATATCAAAACCATGGGTTTTATGTTTTATAGCTCTTAAAAGGTACTCCTACCGTCCCATAATTATTGTCCAGTTTGAGTTTTCATTTCTAGTTCAAATTGTACTAAAAGTGAAATCTCAAACTGGACAATAATTTTGGGACAGAGGGAGTAGATATTTTGTCACCTTGAATCTTACAACCTGTCCAATTGTGGATTCAAACTGCAACACGCGAAATTAATTCGCTGATTTGTGAAATTTATTGAATTGATTAGCTATTTGTTGGTCAATCGTCATTGCTAAATGAAAATGAGATTGATTCTGAATATCGATATAACCATTTGCGACTCATTTGGCCACGGGCTAGATAAACACCATCAACTCATCGAAGGCACATTTTCTTTCCAGAAAACAATTAATAAAGTAGAATAAATGATATCGAGAAATTAACATCAGTGAATTAAAGTCGTCCCAACACTTCCTTGACTATTATTCTTTTCTTTTTAGTCCACTAATCTTAAAATTTAAGTTATACGTATAAAAGAAAGTTTCAAAGTATCCATAATCATGCAAGAACGGAAGTCATTCTTCTCTAAACTATTAAAAAAGAATATCCATATGTATACTCTCTCCGAGGAATCAACAAGTATTCTTCAGTTAAATAATAATGATTAATACAATTATATTGCTTGGATTAACTAAAACATTTTAGCAGCAGAATTGATTGGCCGTCCAATAGTGATAGGTCATTACGATATTGTTTAATAGAAAAAAGAGTAAATAATGACTAATTTGACCGCCACTCAACAGAGCTCAGAAATTACAGTTTGGTCAAGACAGAAAAATATAAATTATCAATTCCAAACGGGAAAACAAACCATATTTTTTAATCAACAAAGTGACAATATTAGCAAATTTTATTAATTTGGGAATACATTTCCAACATTGTCATGCGCAACTATCACCGTCCTAAAGAAAGGCAAGCTAACCCAAAAGAGAATTTATACTCATAAAAGTGAGATCTCTTTTGCCAATTTTTCGCATATCAATTACTACTTAAGTCATACATAATTATAACGTGCGTTTAAAGAGGGAATTGTATTGAATTTAAATGATATCGATTGGGATCCAGATATACACAGGGCTGGCCTTTTTGTTTAAAACTCGACTAAATTAATGATTGTTTCAACCTATTTAAATTTTTTGAGCGACACATATTTGAAAATAGAAGAAATAATAATTGGTAAAGTTTGCGGGAATGTGGGAGCATTAGGGGGGAAAAAAGTCAGTGTATAAAATAAGTATCTTACATATGCAGCTAGTTTCATCAAACTTTTTGTTTTCCCCTTAAAATCAACTTGTGGGACCCGCTTTAGAGATGAAATCATATTTTGGGATCAGAAGGGAGGAAAAATTTGTTTCTAATGAAAATAAAAAGAAAGGCAGTTCAAATAAGCATCTAGACCAGGAAGTTTCAAGTTACCCATACACTCTCATAACTAATTTAAGTTACCCATACACTCTCATACCCATACGATAAATGTGTTCTCATGATTTCAAACTTATATTTGTCATGTCGATGTGAAGATTTGCCTATGATGGTTTACTGCCTCTTACTGTAATTTTATTTCAATTAGAAATTTAATAAATTGTTATATTAATTAGTGTTGGGAGATATTTTTTAATCCTTAATAATGAAAAAGAGGGAAACGAAAAAAGGAAGAGATAATCAGAACAATCGATTAAACTGCTCAAATGGTCTTTTATATTTGCCAAAAAAAATTAATTTGGTTATTTACTTTAAAAATTCACTGATTTGGTCCATTGCATTTGCTTTTTACACTAATTTAGTCCTTTTTATTTTTTTTAATGACC